CCGCCACGCCCAAAAGAAACCCCATTTCACACATACGTGACATCGCACTCACTCTCCACTCAAAACAACTATTTTCCAAAATTGACCTTGTGCGTGCATACTATAACATCCCAGTGGCTGAATCAGACAGTTCTAAAATAGCAGTCACAACCCCATTTCGTATGTTCCAATTTTTAGGAATGCCTTTTGCTTTACGTAATGCAGCACAAAACTTTCAACAGTTTTTGGGCCAAGTAAAGTGAGGTCTTGACTTTGTTTTTGTTTACTTGGATGAAGTTTCAATAGCTAGCACTTCATTCGAAAAGCACGGTTCCCACTTGCACATTCTATTTTTACATTTTAAACATTTTGGTCTCACACTGAACCCACCTAAATGGATTTTCGGTATCTCATCCTTAGAATTTCTAGGCCATGAGATTAACTCCCGAGGCATTCTCTCAATATCTTCTAAGTTTCGAGCCATTCAGGACCTCCCCGTCTAACTTCTGTCAAACAGCGTAAATCTTTTTTTGGATTTGATTAATTATCCTAAATTGTTCCGCTATACTTCATCCTCTCATACATTTGCTCCGCGGTAACAAAAAGACGTTGTCACAGAATTGGCACAAGTTGCAAATACCATCACCTGCTACCTGACTTCGCCGGAGTGTACCGTGCAAGATAGATGGAAAGTAGTTAAAGGAGGGCTAACTAGCCTCACAGAACGATTCGCGAAAGTGGAGGAAGGACGAACCAAGCATAGACCAATATGGTGGAAACCCGGGACATTAAGGGTACTGAAAATTCGCCGACAATACTGAGATCGCTTTAAGCTTTATGGTAACAGGCGCGGAATGATTGCAAGCGGGCGCGGAACAGATATCAAGATCTCCGAAGGCGTGACAAATACGACTTCGAGTTTAACTTAGCGCGAGGCGTCATAAAGAACACGAGATGCTTTTGTGCTTAAGTGCAAGCCAACGCATGCACACGGAAGAGTGCAGGGGCACTAGCTATGCCCGATGAAAGCATAGCTACGTGGAATCGCGATAAAGCGGAAACACTAATTAAGTTTTTCAAAATCGTCTATAGGACCCCAGCCAACTTAAATAATCCGGGTTTAGCAAAATCCACTGACACGTCCGAGTTTGCGGAAATTGCCATCTATGAAACAGATGTACATCGAGAACTCCCTTAGTCTCTGTTTTAATGATGTCCAGGAATTCGTAGGTCTAGCAACGGTCGAAGTAACGAATCAAAACAAAACGACTGGTATCACGAAACCTCAAAAACGGTTGTATTGGAATGAGCTGGAGAACAGAGAGAAGAGCGTGCAGAGACTGGACTGGCAGTGGATGGATGGACCCCGTGTATTTCATGCTGAATGTTTTGAAAATCCTTTCGAACCCATAATGATTTATGGTGAAATAACTTTATCCGTGTGTTGCTTCTATATTGACATTTCTCGATCACAAATATCATATATCATTATTTATCTGGTAATTCGATGCCCGGCACATTTGAATTTCGCGTGGTTTGAGAACGGGAGCGACTGTTTGGACATCTTATTTGGTTCGCTTGCTTGAGTGCTCTCGGCCGCATATTTGAGGTTTGCTTTATTGTACATTTTGTAATGATTTCGATAATTCAGTACTGCGGAACATTGCGGATCAATTGTGTTTTTTTATTCGGGATTCGCATCGGTTCGGCTACGCGTCACTCAAGTGCGAATTGGTTAACGTACACCCCGTGTGTTGATGCGGTGCACTATATCAATGCTTACCTGTGGAAGAATGTTCGACGGTTTACGTAACTCCGAGAATTCGGAGAGAAACGTGTAAAACCGATCTCCTTCTAGCGGTCGATAGATGATGGGATTGACGGATGTTGATGCTGACGGATGTGTCGGGACGCCTGTTGCCTCGCAAGTCGTGAGACGGTCTACAAGCTTATGGCCTACGGGATCGAACATACGATTGAAATGACGAAGGAAATCAATGCCAATGCTGTGGAAGGTCAGCGATGAGGAAGACCCATGGAAAACTACGGCGAATTCCGAGGTTCAGTGTGAGTGAACGCTCGCCGTAAGTTTTGATTGGGGTCGAGGAATGGCGTTGATCGATGAGGCGAGGGCAGATAACGCTAACCTGGGCACCGGTGTCGATTAGAAAACGTGTGCCAGTGACTTCGTCTGGGACGTAGAATAGGCGACTTGGTGTAGCTGAACACGATAAACCATATCCTTGTCGATTGGACATTCAAGAATCGACCAATGATTGTTTGTTGCTTGTAATATATATTTCCATGATTTTCTGAATAGAATTACCTGTATCCACAGCTCGTCTTGGTTTTACCTGACTTTGCGCTATTCAGTGGGTTTTCTGTTCGATACCGAGTTCGCGCTATTCGATTTCGATTCCTATTCCGAATACCACAATTGGCGTCGCTGCATGGAGTTGCGCACCATCAAATCCCTGAATCTACGTTCACATCCGTCTGAGATTGAAGAATGAGTCGAACGTTTCGAGCTCTGGTGCAGCCTACGGCAGAAAGGAAAACAGGATCAATCCGTACTATTTCTCACGGTGGGTGGAAAGGAAATGTATTCTCTGCTGAAGAATCTCGCTTTCCCCGACAATCCGGCCAAGCTACCATTCCCGATACTGAAACAATTGCTTCTTGCCCACGTGATTCCTGTTGATTTCCAAGCTACTGAGAGGGCAAAATTTAATTCGTTGGTTCATGCCGAGTCAATGCCCTGTTGAGATTTCATCCTGTTGCTCAACAAACAGGCTTCCAAGTGTAACTATGGAGACAGACTGGAGCAGCAATTGTGTGATCGCCTTATTGCAGGCATTAACAATATGAATCACCAAAGAAAGTTGCTGGAAAAGAAGGATCTAACATTTTCCGAGGCTAGGAGGATATGTGAGCAGCATGATGATTTCACTGCAGCAACAACCCGTGAGTCGTCTACGTTATTTCAGAGTAGTTCACGAAGCAATAAACCC